GGATTTAGGGTTGAGGGTTGAGGGGTGAAGGTTTAAGCTTTATCCCCGAACTCTGAACACTAAAATCAAGCCCGGCCGTCCTCTGAGCTTCGAACCTTCGAAGTTTATGGTCGAGGCGTGACTTCAGAGTCTTGGTCGAGCCCCTTCGTCATACGCGGTTTAGGGTTTAGGGAGCTTTCCTTATATGCCTTGGGCTCTACGGGGATTATAGCATTACGTGATTTAAGATATGGGTGGTTGTCAAAATTAGGATCCCTTTTTGGGTACCCTAGATATTAGGTGCCGTATTATATTAGGGACCCAAAAAGGGACCATAATTTTGACAACCACCCATATATTATGATCGGTCTCAGGGGAGAGGCCCGGATCTCTCCTCCTCACTCCGCACCCGTGGTCCAAAGCCAACAAGCCTAAAGGCCTACAAGCCCTAGGTACTCATTAACATCTAAAGCCTTAGGGTTTAGGGTTTAGGGTTTAGTGTTTAGGGCTTAGGGTTTAGGGTTTAGGGACTATAGGGCCATAAGCCCTAGGTACTCATTAACATCTAAAGCCTCAGGCTACCGAAACCTACCGGCCCCCAGAAGAACGAGGTTTAGGGCTTAGGGTTTAGAACACGAAGCGCGCAAGGACTAAACAACCTCCGCCGCTTGAATGAAATCGCACCAAGCCGTAAGACCAAAACCCAACAGTAAACCCCAATATCCCTGACCCGCAACCTCTATAAGCCCCCATAAGCCTTGTAGGACCTTTTTGGCCCTATATGCCGTCGAATCGACCCTAGATTATAGACCCTACAAGTCGTACAGACGCTTGTCAGGGTGGCCGTTACGGATTCCGCATGAGGCTTAGGTGTTTAGACCGAGGGGGCCCTCAGAAAACTGAATTTTAGGATTTAGGGTTTAGGGTTCAGACGGACGCGTAACACAAGGGCCTCAATCACTGGAACGGGGTTTTGGGGTTAGTAGTGTCAATTATTTCCTAAACCCTCAATCCTAAAAACTTAAACCAGCACAGAGTCAAGGCCCTGACCCTCAACCCTTTACCCCGAAACCCGAAAGCCCTACACCTTAGGGGGTTTAGGGTTTAGAGTTTAGGGTTGAGGGTTTCGAGTTTAGGGTTTAGGGAACAGGGAACCGAGTCGAAGCCGGGCATCTGTGAAAGTAGGCGGTCCGCCTCATCTGCCACAAACCTGGAGTTTCGAGCTTCGGGTTTATAAGGCTCAGGGTTTGTTTAGGGTTTAGGGTTTAGGTTCTAGGGTTTAAGGGTTTACTGTAGGCTCTTATTATAAACCCTAGTAGGGGATTTAGAGGGACCCTACAAAAAGTAGGTTCTGGTGGGTCTGGGTAGGGTTTAGGTATTAGAACTGAACCCTAAACCCTAAACCCTAAACCCTGAACCCTGAACCCTAAACCCTAAACCCTAATGCTCAGCGCGGCTTTGGGGACGAAGGCAGAGTCAGGACTCGGGTCTGAAGAAGTTGGCCGCCGTTCTCCTAATATCTTTCAAAGGACCTAAGAATTACTGTGGGCCTAAATAACCTAAACCCTAAACCTTAAACCCAATTACCAGTACTATTTTTTTTGGGGGGGGGATCCTTATTCGAATTAGAGAGACCTAAGAATTAATGTAGGGCTTAAATAACTACCAGTACTACTGTTGATGA